ACTGTCTTTTCCTCTTCTGCTTTTATCCAAACATGTCTTTGTTTTCCCTCTGTCACTTGCTTGTTTATTCCATGTCACTGTAAACTTCCCCTGCAGCTCCCTTTTTATTTTCTGTTTCCTGTTTTCATCTGTTGCCCTCATCACTGGGAATTGTCCCACTCCAGGCTTCCTGTCGGGCCAAGATGGTGGTGGTCTGACAGGCCATGGTGGGGCAGTAGGCTGCTGTTCTAATCTGTTTCTGTCTCTGCAAATGCACTGCTTGCTAGTGATCTGGGGATTTCAAGTATTTCATCAGCAGTAATGCCTGGCTTATATTTTTCTTGCCCTTATAGAGTTAAATTCCAGTCTCTCTCATCTTCTCCTTGGGTTTTAACGATGTATTGGAATCCGCTTGCCTCCCACGTCATTCTCCTGGGAACGATATGATACACAGCCGTGTGTTCACTACTACACTGTTTTTCTGCTCTTTGTCTTGCCAATGGTCCAAGCCCTCTTCATTGCTGTAGGTATGCTCTAACCAGAAATGTGTCCTTATTCCATGTGTCTCTATATCTCCTTTATTTTCATAATGTTCTAAAGAAGACACCTCATTTTCAATACTACTATCTCACTCATTCATCAGTATTGTTCTCCTCAGGGGTAATAACAATAATAATAATAATAATAATAATAATAATAATGATAATGATAATGATAATGATAAACTTTATTTGTGTAGCACCTTTCATACAGGCAATGTAGCACAAAGTGCTTTACAACAAAGAAATGACATGCACCGAGTGCTTCACATGAAAAGAAAAGACATAAAATTAACATAAAACATTGTTAAAAGCATTGATCTAAAATTAAAAACATTAATGTAAAATGAGATAAAATAATAATAATAAATCATTAAATAGGCAGGGCATAAATGTGGCGCAAAATGCAAATTTCAGAGCTAGTTAAAGGCTAAAGTGAAGAAATAAGTTAAGCTTTCTTTTAAAAATACTTAGTAAGCTGGCTTCGTATGTATGTATGTACAGTATATACAGTTGTACAATTGTATGTACAGTTATCAACAAACAGTTTAAATCACTATAAACAGTGTTTTATTGTTTTTTCACAGTTACTATTGACACGCACTATATACAGTGCCACTGTCCCTCAGCAGAGCATGCTATAACTCTCTCGCCATTCGGTAGGCCCCTTAGCAATGCATTCAATAACTTCTCCCGCCGTCCCGTAGGTCCCTTAGCGGTGCATACAATAACTCTCCTGCCATCCAGTAGGCTCCTTAGCGGTGCATGCAGTATCCAGTGTTGTGCATGAACGCATTCAATGAACGGCGTAAACGCTGCATGACGTCTCCATAGACACGGCTCAACACAGCTGGTGCTAGCGGTACAGACTGTTTTAAATGTACCTTATGTATGTGATTCATCAGTGGTATACAATAATTCATTTAGTTTTGGAGTGGCAATGATTTGGTGCAGGTGATGGATGGGTAGAAGGAGGTTCCATTGAAAAAGAATAGCGGCCTATTTATTTAATAAAAAAGAAAAACCTGAACTTGCTAACTAACATTTTCATCTGTATGAACTGAACTTTGAACTAGTTCTTTTTAAGTGTGAACTGGCACAACATTGGCAATATCGCTTATCACTACTCTCTCAGACTCAGTCCCATGCCTGTTCAGAGCCTCTTTTCCCCAGAGTAAGAGGCGGTAGCCGCATGGACTGTCTTATCTTTAATCTCTCATAGACTCAGCCGCTCTTCCAGTCTGACCCTGTCTACCCTGGAGCAGCTCATCACCCAGCTGAAACACTACTGGGTCTACCAGGTACAGAGGCTTGTAATGATAACCAAATCCCCCACAAAACACAAGGTTATAAGCCAGCATGCAATACACACATTTAGCAGCAGTTGATCAAATTAACTCACTCTTTCCGCTCTATGATGATATATAGCAAATATATTACACTTAGACACACATTAAACACACTTGGATTCAACTCTGTTCACCAGTGACTGTAATCTATTCACAGTTTTAGTACTGTTAGTTTTGGTGCCTGTTTTTAAATTTTAACACTTTTCATGCTTAATTTCTCATTTATTTTTGACTAGGTTCTTTAGAGAAGAGACATTCTGATTTACCTCACCTGGGCAGAGACTCACTGCACTCAGTGAGTTGCACTCAGACACAATCAGAATTTGAAGAAATTAAAAAAGGCTCTGCAGGGGCAGGGGTTCACAGGCTTCTGTCTCTCCTGGCTGGCTCGCCAATTTATGTTAAAGAAAAGAAGTCCAGGACTGGAGTCAAAAAAGAAGTCACTGGAGATGGTCAAAGTACTATGCAATAGAATTTATTCTTTCACAAGAATTAAAGCAAGATCAGACCCTGGTCCGAACTGAAGACAGAATGCCTGTGCATCTTATATAGTTATCAATCCCGTCTTCTTTGGTAGACTCTCAACCTATTTTTCTAAAAGGAACCTAGCATCACCTTGGAAATAAGGTGTCTAGTCTGCCCTGAATTTCCCCAAACCAGGCTACCAGGTTGTGATAATGGTGCCAGAAGTCCAGAAATCCCCTAACTTTCCCCAACCTGGGCCTTGCCAGTGCATACTCTGTTGACGCCATATTTTCCAGCTGCTTTCCAATCTTTTTTTTTTTTTTTTTTTAAAGGCGTTACTCCTTCCTACGAGGGTACTTGGTGTAACAGACTTATTGCAGCACTTGGTGTAACAGACCTGCTGCAACAAAGGCTGACTCACATGCAGTCTCACCTCAGATATACAGTATATATAGCTGACACATTGTGATTATATGTTTAACATTCAGTATATTTATAATGCAGAGTACATATTGATATACATGTTAATGAAAGTGTACTACAACACTTGTGTGTAGTAGGTAAATAGCCTGTGTGTCTGTCTGCCTACCTACCTGCCTGGTTGTGTGCTTGTCAGTCTGTGTGCTTGTCTCTGTGTCAGTTAAATTGACAAACTGAAATTAACTGCCAAATTTTTCCTGACTAAAACTGTAGTGAAACATATTTCCAGTGAAAACTGTTGAAATGTGTGTAAATCATTGTCTTGTATTTAGTGTTGGAGCAGTCTGTAGCTGGACTTTGTCAGAAATCAGAGGACTCTGATTTGAACCTCCCATCCCACAGGTTTCCATGGTGACTTTAACTGCTTAGTTTGTACTGAGTGAGACAGCGATTCACTTGAAATATACCTCTCAAACTCAGACTCACCAGGAAAATAACTGTATGAATGTGTGTGTGAATGGATGAGTGGTCAATAAGACTAGAAAAGTGTAGATATTCAGATAGTCACAGTGTAGGCTGGAAAATGGCTGATGGCATGAACCATTCACTCAGGGGTAACTGTTATCACATAAAGGCATATATTTTCTGAGAGAGGAGACTCTGCTGAACGCAGTGATATAAAATATTTGTCTGTGGTACCGAAAATGTGGCATGTGCAATGATATACCTCTTGCTTTTCCTCCTGATTTTCTGCTCTAATTTTACATTACAGTGAATGGGGCAGTTGGATGGTACTCCTGCCCGTTTGAAGGGCATAAGACAAAGACAAATTGCCAACATTCTGGGAAGAATTTATGTGTGAAGAGTAATAGTTGTGGCCATGAGGATGAGTTAGACAGGATTTTTTTATGCAGTTAAACCCATTCTCCCACTCTAGCTGTGATGTCATCCACTCTAACCTCCTTCAATAGACTCCCATTATAAATTCAAAAATTGCCAGAAAAAGTAGTAGTAGTTCTGAAGTTCAAAGAGGAGAAGATTTTAGAGGGTTTGAACATTCTCTCAATTCATTTTAATGGGGAAAAAAATGAATATTTCCAAAATCCTGAGACATATTATTGAGAATTGTAATACCCTGCATGTCCCGATCAAGACACACATTTTGACGTTTGAACTGAGTTTCTACGACAAACAGTGCAGGACTAGTTAGGTGCCAAAAAAGTGAGCAGAAAAAATATGATAAATGAAATTTTGCAACCTGAATGAATTTGTGTCAGTGTCTTCATAATAGAAATAAACTATTCAAATACCTTTTTAACAAAGTTAGACACAGAAGCAGAAATGTGTAAAATTTGTTCTGATAGATCTCATCTCTATGTCACAGACTTGACACATATTTTTAGCTTCAGAATGATTTATACTAGGGATGCCCCTATTGATTGCCCGCCAATAATGATCGGACGATTTTCATTAAAAATACGTGATCAGTAGATTGGAATTAATGCTTCCAGTCAACGATCACCTTAAAACACCTGTGGTTAATATTCTGGTTTCTGCATCTGACAGAAGGGCTGTGTGCCGTGTAGTGAAGTCCAGCCTCCCTCCTTGTTCATTGCGGTGGGCAGAGCTGGCTCTTTTTCATCAGGAGGCTCAGGTCCTTTGATGTCTGCAATGAAATGCTGCACGATTTATCAGTCAATGGTGGCCAGTGTCCTTTTTTATGCTGCTGTCTGCTTGGGCATAACTGTGAGCAGCCCAGAAATAAGTTTCAGAAACTCACAATCACCGATCAAAGCATCTCACATGGAGGCTCCAACACTGATGGGAGCCACAATGGAGATAAACAAAACCTCCACTGGACTTTGTAGACTTTGGTCTGCATCATGGTTCTCTTGCTCACTTGCTCTCTTGGCTATAAAAATTCACCCCGACGCTTGAATTGAAAATGTTCCACTCAGTAAACATGTTCTGCTACTGTAAACAAACACTGAAATATTGATTTACTGTCATGAGATACATAGATTTACATGTCAGCTTCTATTTATTTAAAGCTTCTATTTATTTAGCGCTCTAATTACCTGATGTTTGGTCGTAGCATCACTGTCGTATCACAGCTGGGTAACTATCTCAGTATAGCTCTATTACCTTGTTGGTTTATAAGTCTGTATAGTAGTTGTGTCCCAGTGTAGCTCATTTCTCCACGTCTGCACACTATCTCTCTCACCTCTGCTTTCCTCTTCCACTTTAGATTGTTGGCTCCAGGGGCCCCATAGAGATCAACCCCAGAGACACCATGGCTAAAGAGAGCAGCATCATGGGAGTGGCTCTTTTCTTTGCCACACCGGTACAAAGCAGTGACATCACACAAGCCATGTTTTAAACACACTTAATAATTGTATCTGGTTGGGATTTGTATGGATTTGGGATTTTTAAAGCCTACACACACTTTGGATGAGGTTACATGAGACAGATTCATGCAACATAGCTGTATGTGACTGAGATTAATGAAAGTTGTTCTACGTATAAGCCAATACACTTAACTGAAATGCTGTATACGAATTGGACTGGCAGAAAGGCAGTCAGAGAGCGCAATCCTCTTCCAAGGCCAGTGTCTAATAGAGATGAAACGGTATAAAAATGTAATATCACAATTATAGTGACCAAAATTATCATGGTTACCAGTATTATCACGTTGTTGTTTAAATGTGCCAGTAAAGCACAAACTGAAATAATTTCACCAAATGAATATTTGCATTTAATATGTCAACACATCTATTTCATAGATGAGGACAAAGGACCATTAGCAGTACTGGGTTTGCCTGCTGCATGCCCACTCTGTAAACAAGGGAATAGAAAAAGTATTATTATCATCATTATTATTCTATTAATGTTTTATTATATTATTATATAATTATTGTTATTGTTACTATTTTCTGTGCTGTGAAGTCTTTCAGCACAGACACTGTAGACTGACCTGTTACCTGTCCAGCATCAGGCTACACTGCACTCAAGGATGAAACAGTGATCAGCCCAGAAATAAGTTTCAGAAACACACAATCACCGATAGAAGCATCTCACACCAAGGCTCCAACACTGACGGGAGCAACAATAGCGACGCAACGGATCCATTTTATCCAGTTTACAGAGCAGCTAGTCTGTGTGTGTGCTCTGTAGCTGCAGTTGTGTGAGTCCTCTCCGAACTGAAAGGCAAAGTCATCTGACAGTGTAAAAAGTCAGTCGTCTTTTTTTTTATTAGGTTTACCTACGTTTAAAAAACCTGCTTATACTCACTAATTTTGGTCCAAAAAAAAGGGTATTAGCAGGCTGAAAAATCTCTGGTGATGCCATGTTTCACTGCAGAGTCAGGTGATAATTCTCTGTTCCACCATGTTTTGACCAACAGAAAACAAACCCACGCTGCTTTCTGTGCATGTGTCTGGGAGACTGTTGCTGGTTGATGCCGTACAGTACCTAACGTGAGTTAAATTAACCATGGTAATTGGCCACAGTTATAGTGATAATTCAAATTTAAACCATAATAAAAACCGTCAGGCATTTATACTGTGATTTAGCATGAAACCAGTAACCATTTCATCTCTAGTGTCAAACAATATGCACAAGACATCACAGAAAAAAATTTAAATTCATGTGCCTCAAAATTGAATGGCTTCTTCCCATAATCCTGCTGAAAAATAAATGTGCTAGAGGTAATAATGGACACCAAACAACTTTTGACATGGAGACAAGAAAAACTGATCCTGATATAATACTCTAGTTAGTAAAAATAATTCTTATATATATCTTCCCTCCATCTTCCTTTGTCAGGAGGAGAAAAAGGAGTGTGCAGCATTGCTCTACGCAGGGATGGAAACTGGTTGGCTGCATCCAGTCGTTGGTTCCCAGTATCCACTTGACAAGGCTGCCCAGGCCCATCATGACATTATTGAGTCCCCTGGGGCTGCTGGAAAGATAGTCTTGACCATGTGATGACACAACTGTATCACAAGTTGAAGCTCACCAAGTAGGGTTCAGACGGGGAGACTCTTAACAGGCTGCTACAACAAGCAAATTATTATTAATATGGTTGCCTTTAAGTTTAAGTGTTGCTGAAAATGACCTTTTTACTAAAATACAAACAAGCTTATTGATGTTCAGTGTTGTTCCTCAAATTGAAAAAGGCAATGACAGTAATATTAACTTGACATGACAGGCACTATGACTATCTGTATTTCATCATTCATTTTAATAAATCATGCTTACAAGGAATGATGTAAAAAGTTTCAGGGAGAGTCACTGTTGTATTGTATTCTCCACTTATTCAGCTTGATCTGATCACTTTGTTTTTACAGTACAAGACTAGCTGGCCTGGTTACTTTGGCTACCTATGTAAGTTTTATGAAATTTGCCATGTTCATTGTAGTAAACCCTCAAGTCTCCCTGAGCCACTTAGCTCTATGGGCTGTGATGACATATACTTATATTAAAGTCTGTACCTTTATGTGGACAAACTGATTCCTTTCTTGGTAACTTTAGTGCACAATTGCTGGAGTAGGAGCTGCTCAGGTGCAAGACTAACAAATACTTAGCTTTATGTTTAGCTGTAATTTATATTTTTAGAATAACAGTGTGAAAATGTGAAAGGGTCTGCTCATAGTGATGAACCTACAGATAATTATCACCTGACTCTGCAGTTGCAGCTCATTGTTTATCTCTGTCCTGCAACTTTACTGTTCTGTTTCATTCTCTCACTGCTCTTATAGCAGCAGAAAATATTAAACCTGTAGTACACTACCTGCTCAGCTTGTTAACGCTAATGTGTTAGCAAATAACAATTGCTTATTTACTCATCCAGCAGACACACTGTCCATCTGATGGACTACAAGTTCAGATTCACTCTGCTTAAAGCTCTGTTTTGGTGTCCAACTACTTCAGAGAAAAATGTCTGGCTCTTCAGCTGATAAATGTTCCATACCAGCTGGTTGCTAACAGTCTGGCTGTTGTTTGGTGCTGTGAAAGTAGTCGCCTGGAAATGAAGTTAGTGAGGACAGAGTTTGTGGTTATCTAAAATAAATAAAAATATGGAGCTAAAAGATGCTAAAATGCTCTGTAGAGAAAGGGTTAATGGAATAGTTGGTAACGAATATCTGTGGGTTCATTGTTACTACAAGCAATCCCCTCCACATCACTAATAGTCATTTTGTCCATTGTTTATATAAAATTGTGGTTACTGCAGCTTTAAGTGAATGTTAAAGAAAAGGTAAAGGTAAATTTTGTCCTCATTTGCTCATTACAATTATCTTCAGACCAAAATCCCAAAATGTGACCTGTCTTTTCTCTCTGTGCTTTTAAAGACACAACCAGCAGATAGGAACTCTGCATCTTCCTGCCAACTTTAAGAGTAAAACAAATGAAAACATTTTTTGAAGCTTTAAATTGTGAATGAAAATAAAAGAAATTAATAAAAAAAATATTTTTTATAGATAGTCCTATTAAATGGAAGGTGGAAAGTAAGATAATGGAAAGTGAGTCAGACCTGACATCTGTGCCTCTCAGGTGACAGCCAGCTCTACTGAGCATGCTCCAGACATGGCCAGGTAACCTAAGCTAGACATACACAGTACCTGCTACACCACTATAGCAACCAGCAGCAGACAGTTCCACAGAGCTACAGTTCATTCTTATGGATTAATATGCGAGTGGACTGTACCATCCCCTCAGCAGGAGTGGAACTTTGGTTTCTGATGGATGGGTAAGCAGTTTGTAATGGGTTTTCAAATGATCTTGCTCTCTAACCATTATTTGTTTGGTTTAGGTGGAGGTGTATGGATGTTCAGAAACTGAAGCAAAACAACTGATATAAAGCAAACCAAGGAAATCAAAGACTTTCTCACAAGTTCAGTGTTCTCTTTGGTGTATGAGAAAAGATAGTATGAGAGGTTGACAGCTCATTAACTGGGTATCATGGAAAGTGTGTGTGTGTGTGTGTGTGTGTGTGTGTGTGTGTGTGTGTGTGTGTGTGTGTGTGTGTGTGTGTGTGTGTGTATTTCAGAGGCAGCCTGAAAAGAAATTGGCATGCACTACTTCCAATGCATATGACAGTGACAATAAATAAACTGGAGCTTGATTTAGAGTTTGTTAATCAGCTGTGCATATTTTTTCTCCTAGTGAAATAATTGAATTGTCTCATCATAGTCTTTTCGGATGGAGGGAGAGGATGTATACGTGACCCTTGGGATTAGTGAATCTGATTCAAAGCGTGAAGGAAAATTTGGACCAAAGACTAAAGATGAGGAAAAAATCATTAAAATTTCAAATCACATCTAAGAGAGAAACCTGACATATTTACAACACCTTGTAGACCACACAGTAATGTCGTATGAAAACGCTTAAGTGAAAGCCATACTATTTAAAATGTTTGAGGTGAGTTTGTACTAGTCCTTAAACAGTAATTCATTAACTATCGCAAACTGGCAAGTACACCAAGTCTGGATTACAGGCAAAGTGGGGAAACTGCCCTGGACTGAGACTTTGCAGTGATATGATTACGTTTTTTGGTAGCCTAGAATGCAACCCCTAAAACATAATGAAAAACTGAATAGTTACTGCATTGAGCTAGGTCCTGCATTTTGATGCGTTTTAATACCTTTAATATTTCAGTTGATAGTGTGTTCAGTGAAATAATGACTGTCATACAGCAAATTTGGGGTTGGTGTCTTGGGGTTAATCCAGCCCTGATGTAAACCAGTCATAGACGACACACATTACCAACTGACTCTGTTGAGAGTCAGTTAGTCAGAGTCAGTACTAACTGAGAGTCAGTCAGCACTAACTGATCTCTAGCTAGATCTCTAGCTTTGGATGATCACATCACACAGCAGTAGTGTTTAACTTAAAACTACATTCAGTCATTTTTTTTACGATTTTGATGATTTTATGTTGAGGTTTGATGAGAACATTTAGACTGTACCACAGTTTGTCACGATATTACACCAACATTGGAGTAGCTCTCTGGTTGGTCATGATCACTTGGGTTATAACATGGGAACATTGGTTTTGTGGAGTAACTCATGTTTTTCATCAAAGAGGACAGCCCACTGAAGGAAAGTCCATTAGGAAAAGAGCTTCAGCAGAAACATGATAGGCCTCATTCAGCTACAATGTCTGGCTGTCATCCATCAGAGTTCCCTAGGGACAACCTGCACCTCCTCTGATGATGCCACACATAAAGTATCTCTCTCTCTGTCTCTCTGTCTCTCTCTCTCTCTCTCTCTCTCTCTCTCTCTCTGTGTAATGGGGCTCCCAAAAATCGGATGCCAATCCTGAGGAAGACAATTTATTGTAGAGGCAAATGACTTAATACTATTTTTTTGTAGCTGTGTGTGTGTGTTGGGGGGGTTCATGTCTATGACAAGAATTTTGGACATAAATATCAATAAAAAAATATTTTTTTAATGTATGATTACAAGGCAGCTTTACTTGTATGGCACATTTTAGGGTACCACATTACAATAAGACTACCCTTATAAAGGATTTATAAATGGTTTATAACTAGGCTATTGAGTCGGTTGTTAACACTTTATAAATCATAAATTAGACATTATAACCAGGTTACAATATATTGATGCACGTTCACTATATGGCAAGATCAAGTTAATGCTTACTACTCATTAATCTTACTAATGTGTTTCTACCATTTAAGGAGCCTCATTGTAACTGATTAATAAATTATGATGCGTTTTACACTTTATAATAAGGCTCCTTTTATCAGTTATAAATGTTTGTAACTACCTGCAATGCTAAAGTCCTAAAGAAGATATCAGCCAGAAAAAAGCATCTCAATTTTAATATCCACTGTGCAGAACAATCTGATACCATGAATTATAATATATATGAATTATAATTTATACAAATATGTGAAGAAGCAGCAGGTACAAACACTTGATGATGGAGAAAACAAAGAAAGCTCAATAGCTAATGAGATGTGGCTGAACAGTACAGATACATGTGGGATCACTATTTGGCAAGCAACAGATCACTGTTGCTCCTCCTTGAACCGTCACCTTACCGTGGTGGAGGAGTTTGAGAGCCCTAATGACCCTAGGTGCTATGTTGTTGGGGGCATTTTGCCCCTGGTAGGGTCTCCCAAGGCAGATTGGTCCTAGGTGAAGGGCCAGACGAAGAACGGTTCAGAAGATCCCAATGATGAATACTATCCAGAACCCGAGTACCCGGCCCGGAGGGACACCGCCCTGGAGCCAGGCCTGGGGTTGGGGCCCGTGGACGAGCGCCTGGTGGCCGGGCCTTAGCCCATGGGGCCCGGCCGGGCCCAGCCCGAACCGGCTACATGGGTTCGTCTCCCAGTGGGCTCACCACCTGCAGGAAGAATCAGAGGGATCCGGTGCAGTGTGGATTGGGCAGCAGACCAAGGCAGGGGCCTTGGCGGTCCGATCCTCGGTTACGGAAACTGGTTTTTGGAACATGGAACGTCACCTCTCTGGCGGGGAAGGAGCGGGAGCTTGTGGAAGAGGTCGAGCGATACCGGCTAGATATAGTCGGCCTCACCTCGACACATAGCGTCGGCTCCGGAACCGAAGTCCTTGAGAGGGGCTGGTCTCTCCTCTTTGCTGGAGTTGCTCCGGGTGAGAGGCGGAGGGCCGGGGTGGGCTTCTTGGTGTCCCCCAGGCTCTCTACCTGTACGTTGGAGTTTACCCCGGTGGACGAAAGGGTTGCGTCCCTGCGCCTTCGGGTCGGGGATCGGGTTCTGACTGTTGTCGTCGCTTATGCGCCGAACAGCAGTTCAGACTACCTGCCCTTTTTGGAGTCCTTGTGGGCTTGCTGGAAGTGCCCCGAAAGGGGACTCCATTGTCCTACTGGGAGACTTCAACGCTCACGTGGGCAATGACAGCGTGACCTGGAAGGGTGTGGTGGGAGGAACGGCCTGCCCGACTCTGAACCCGAGCGGCGTTCAGTTATTGGACTTCTGTGCTAGTCACAGCTTGGCCATAACTAACACCATGTTCAAACATAAGGATGTCACAGGTCGCACTTGGCACCAGGACACCCTAGGTCGCAGGTCTATGATTGACTTTGTAGTCGTATCATCAGACCTGTGGCCACATGTTTTGGACACTCCGGTAAAGAGAGGAGCAGAGTTGTCACACCGACACCCACCTGGTGATGAGTTGGATCAGATGGCGGGGGAAGACGCCGCGCAGACCTGGCAGGCCCAAACGGGTTGTGAGGGTCTGCTGGGAAAACCTGGCGGAAGAACCCGTCAAGATGATTTTCAACGCACACCTCCGGCAGAGTTTTCGACCACGTCCCGAGGGCAGTGGGGGACATTGAGTCCGAATGGGCCTTGTTCCACTCTGCTATTGTTGAGGCGGCTGTTGCAAGCTCCGGCCGCAAGGTAGCTGGGGCCAGTCGTGGCGGTAACCCCCGTACCGCTGGTGGACACCGGTGGTGGGGGAAGCCGTCAGGCTGAAGAAGGAGGCCTACAGGGCGTGGTTGGCCTGTGGGTCTCAGGAATCAGCTGACTGGTACTGGCGCGCAAGGGGAGTGCAGCTGCGGCAGTTGCTGAGGCAAAAACTC